GCTTTCCACTACTTCATCAGGAACACCTTCAGGGTTGGTGCGCGTAACCCCCGAAGTCCCCAATTGTCCAAATTCTCCAGACCCACTCCCTTCTGCACTTTTGCCACTGTCAGGGTGAGCGCTTCCACTGTCATTTCCACCACCCCCACCCCCATCTCCATTGCCCTCATTGCTACCACTGTTGCCCTCACTATTTCCCTCACTACTGCCTCCACTGCCTCCACTGTCACCTTCGCTGCCACCTCCGCCGCCACCTCCGCCACCACCTCCAGCATCATCAGGGAAGGTGAAATTTCGCCCGTCCTTGCGCATTAAGCAGCCAAATATAATCGCCAGGCGTACGTTGGCTAAAAATTCTGTATCGTGGTTGCCTGTGTAGACATTGAAATTTCCAAGGATTTCACTGTCAGAATATCGGTCAGGAGCAGCTTCAGTTATTATCTTCCAAAAAGGTTGGGATTGAAGAGAATTGTGAAGGCGGGCAATGACAAGCACTGGACTGGCAGCGATTTCGAAGATGATTCGAGTGATGTCGGCAAAGATTGAGGAACGTGGGAGTTTGCCTGCCGGATCTGGTTTTTCCTCTGAGAGTCGGATGAGATGGAGAGGTGGGCAATCTTTATTTCGGGCAAATGACACCCTGTGGAAGTTCCCATCACACTACATATGCTGATGAGTATAACAAGATACGCAGTCATGCTGAACTCTCACCAATTCAGGGCTGAACTGACGTAGCAGTGATAACCAGTCGACAGCCGGATTCTTTCCATCTTCATACCAATCTAGCAGAAAAAGAAGGTACTTTTTTACTGCGTCCATCGTTTTGGGGTCACGGAGATAGAGATGAAGAAACTTCCTGTCCCAAGGTGTGTGGACCTCACGCCCAACTACAGATATCACGTCAACAACAAGCGCATCAGCAGATTACAAAATCCGTACGAGGGAACGCATTAGCCCGCGAGTTGGATCCTAACCAGCCTCCACAAGCATACATGATTTTTAGCAGCTCGTCTGCTGGTGTCGAAGCTTCGACAACGTGACAGAACTCATAGGATATACTACGTCTGGTTACAGAGCAAAACAGCTTCTTTTTCCCATGAAGAAACGCGTACGTTAACGTTCGGACGGTCTCATGGGAGGAGGAGGCTGTAGAGAGTCGTCCGTTTGAACGATTGCCCGGAGATTCCGAAAATTTACGAATGGTGGCCAGCACAATCCTTGGATATTTCTTGGCTTTTTCCACCTCCTCCCGCTTCTCTTTCTCCTCCTTCTCATCAGCGGCGTCAGCGACGGAGTCACCTTGGAAGCGATTACTTTGCTCCCTTATTGCTTTGAAATCGGCGATCAGGAAAGAAGTCGGTTGGAAGAGCTGAACCGCCTCAGGTATCGTTGTGGACTTGCACCATTGAGGCATGTTTTCTTTGATTGAGATGCTGGTAATCTGGAGAGGTGACTTTCCAGGATGATCTTTTTGTATGAGAGAGTGTTTGTAGTGAGTGGTAGAAACCCAAACTTTGTCGGTTTCAGATGATATCAAATCAGCGACCGTTGGTTTTTTCCTTGGCCTGAGGGACACCATCGTACGTTGAGAGAGAAACAAGAAAGTAAGTTGTAAGAAAGCAACAAACACAACGCAAATCCCGTGCCTGATAGCTGACTCAATCGAGGATGAGATAAGGATAAGATAAGGCAAGGCCGTGGGATTTTTTAATCAACTGGTGTTGGTTAAGATTGTTGTCGATCCCCAAACCACATACTGAACCTGTTCGTTTTGAACCACATTGGTTCTAAGTCTGAACGATATAAGCGAAGATATAGCCATTAAAATTTTGGCCCTGCAGACACTTCAAGAGAACGCCGTGCCCAGTCTTCATCCAATCTTAATCAGCACGATTATCGCTGGGCCTTGTTTCTTACACTCATGCGAGAGTGATTCGGACTGGATAAACATTCTCTAATCACCTTAAAAATGGGTAACAGTTGGTTCACCGTGCACAGTGGCCAACCATCCAATTACTGCGTTCAATGAGGTTTCGCACTGGAGATAAGAGTTCCTCTTTCTTCCCCGAGCCGCTAAACAAAACAAAAAAAATACAGTCCGTTTTAGATTGAAACACAAAGACGCTGTGATTAGGCGTCGTACACCATCTTATTGTATCATACTGTTTTACTGAGACTACAGTACAAATAAAAGCGCGGTTGCCATGGAGCTATACATAGCAATACCTCTAGTTTAACTATGTATCGAGAGACGGCGTACGTTCTGGAGGTTCTTCACCATGTACTGCAAGCCGATGAAGACATGTAGTGGTTGCACCCCAGTTATCCAAAACTTCTACGATCACAACAGCTGTCCTAAACTGAAGATCAACTGAAAAAGTCTGTTTGGTTCCAGGCTGAGCAATATCATATGATATAACACCTCCTTGAACAAATTTTGAGCCGTCCTCGAGAGCCATAGGTTTTGGAATTTGATCTGCGATGGAAAAATACTCCCAACTAACTGTATGCAATGTTACTGTTGATTGGTAACCTCCAGGTGGCAGAAGAGCCCATATCCGGAGGAGTTTAGGAGCTTCTGCTTGTCTCCAGCTAGGAAGCTCGCGATAATCAGGGTAGTAGACAGTAACGTTAGTCAAGCGAACACCTCTAGCCAACTTTACTGCTACATGCCCTTGAGACCCAGAAAATCTCCAACAGCGATTGACGCGTATGTCCTCTTCAATCACTGCGATGGGAGGGGTCGGTATAAAGTAATGCTCAGGAGAATAATCGCTTTCCATTAGTGTGGGTGAAGTGAGGTTAATCACAATGGCGCCGTCCGGACTCAGAGCGTAATCTGGGGCCACAAAAGGAAGAGATACGTTTTGATGGGACGGGGCCACTGTTGCGCAGTCAGCACAAAAACGACCAACGCCATAAGTGTCGCAGTTGGGTGGAATTTCCTCGATGAAGAAGGCTAGGACTAGATTTGCGACGCAGCAGATTATGAAGCCGACACGGGCGGGCATGCGTAATTGGAATTGAGAGGAGTACACGGCGGCGATAGATGTGACCGCAGCTGCGATGATCAATGAATGAGCGTTAGTGGCGACCTTGTCCCACAAAAGCCGCATGAGCTTCTTCATGATGTTATTAGGCAAAGGCCAGCGGGGCTTTGGCGTATGTCGATGATGATTCCTGGGTTCGACTCGGACATTCTGCTGTATTGCTATCAATCCTACGAAGCCCAAACAATCGGATTAGCCCACCTTTGGTTCCAACTTGGAGAATGAGGATTCTCTAACCACAAGACGGCTAGCATTAAGACCCTTCTGAGCCATTGACTCTTGCAGTTGAAACTAGAGAATAATTGGGCTCGTGAATTCGAGAATAACGACGATGTTCACCGGTCTCGAAGCGAGTGAAGTCTCAGATCTCAGGTGGTTCCTTCCGAGACTTTATATGCCCCGTATAAACCGTCAAAGGCTATATTCGTTCAATGGCGAGGAAGACAGTTACCGAATCCTCTCAAAGTTTTGCTTTGGTTGATCCGTCAAAATATCTGGGTAACAAAGAACTTTCACCCGTTGAAGGCTGTTGAAGGAAGGCCAAGGGAATCTTTGTATCCCTTTTAATCGGCGATATGATCTCTTCATTTGTATTGGACATACGGCATTGAACATGCTCTAAGGGGTTGTAATGACAAAAACTCCTGTGCCAAGACTACTCAAGCCAGTTGTTTCTTTTGGACACTCTTTGATGACTGAGATCAGCCTGCCGAGGGTGTGATTTTCACATCACAACTCTAGCGGACAGCAGGCTACAGCAGGGGACTGGTTCGAGTCTATGCCGCCAAGACGTGGGTGTTCATGATCTCCGCGAAATCGATGGACATCGTACCTTTTTCCACCTCTTGCTTTGTTTCTCCGGCTTTGTATACACTTACAATTTTGAGTAGTACGCCGCGCCATCGTCGTTTCACCGTGCCAACATACGTACTGCGGGAAGGTAGAATGTAAGGGTTCTCTATTGTTATCGCTGATCAGTTATAGTATTATCCATAAGACATTGTATATCTTCAGGAATCACACCCTTTCATACCAGAATACACAAAGAAATCATTTCGCCTCTCAAGTTGTGGGATAATACTTTCTGGGAGGCATATAACAGATTGGCATGCCAAAAGACAACCTATAAATTATACCATGATGCGGCTCAGAGAGTCACTGAGACATCAGCGAGAGTCAACGAGAGTCAACGACAACACCAGTGAGAGTTAGCGAGAGTCAGCGTCAACCTAACTCGCCTCAGCCTCACGCTCCTTTTCCGCCAACTCAGAAAAATCACGGAAGGGAACACGATTGACATCCACAACGTCATTGTGTTGCAAAAACTCTCAATGATTAGCGGAGAGTGAAAGAGCGATTGACGCCGCTCAACTCCGTCCGCAATTCAGCAATGGTCTGCTGAGAAGACAACAAGACAATCGACAGGAGTTGTATCCGCCAGGGCAACCCGCTCATCTAATTTCACTTCGAGCTCCCTGCTTACAATCAGGTATTCGTTAGTGGCCTTCGAAGACGACCTTTCCAGAGCCTGCACTCGAGCTTCGAGCATATCCGCACGAGCCAGTTCCACGTTCACTTTCGCTTGTAAGCCCGCATACGTACTGGCAGCCCACTGCAGACCCCCTTCCGTCCGATTCACCTCCTCAAGACCATGGGACCTTGACTCTTCTGCTCTCAGTTGGACCACACTTCTCCGGTGGGAATTCAGAAGTTTCCCCCGAGAAGCTCTTTTCCTCGACCTCGAATCCCTCCCCCATTAGCCGAAAATCAGTTCCTACGATTTTTTCGTTTCAGGCGTCAGGGGTTCCGGGTGAACGGGAAAAACGAGGCGGAGAGACGGTAGCTACTTTGTGGCAGTTTTCTGCTCCTCCTTGTCTTTCTTATCCTTCTGCCCTCTGATTTTATTGGTATTGAATTACATTAATTAATCTTATGCCTCACAACTCCCAAGGTCCAATAATGTAGAGGTTAACACGCGCGATGACTTAATGGTATACTTCTGTAGTTCTCCGTGAGATCCAGGTTCGAGTCCTGGTTGGACTGTACCTATACAGGCGTGGTTTGATTTTCTTTGTCAGTGACTTTGTATAATTCGGACGGGAACTCGTAGCCAATATCGACCTGCTGCAGACGGCTGATAGAACTGGATACCGATATACCATTTTCAGGACTTTGACTCTTTGTTCATGCCAAAGCGAAATAAAGGCCCTTTGTACATCCAAAGCGGAGTAAGTAAAGGATATTAATAAGTACCTGGTTCGGAGCGGTCCTTTATCGCCGTAGCGACGATCCGGCAGTAATGCAGTCGATCAACGCTATAGCATAAGTAAAATGGCGACTGGCATTAAAATGAGTTAGGTGCTCTAGTCTAAACTGTTAGATCACTGACACTCTGACTACTTATGACTGTCAGACTGATTCAGCTTTGCCGTTTCCTTTTCTATACTGCCGATGCTTGCTATATACTATACAGCTGGTAGTTTGGTTCCGTGGCCAGCGCGCCTATACTGGCAACTGAGGTGAGGCCGAGCCTACTTATTATATATATATTACTTTACTAACGTAGCCAACACTCTTGGTCTCGTTGCTCTTCTGCTCTCCAAGATGCACACAGACCACCAATTTTCCGAATGAACTCTCCACGAAGGCCACTCACTCGTGCTCCCTCCCAATCTATCTCGACTTCACTCTCTGTGCGGGTATTCTGACAAGTAAACACAAGTAAACGTATTATTACTGCGACCAAGATAGACAGAAAAACAACTCACAGAAACGTTAATTAAGCGTTCAGCCTTTTCGACAAAAATCCGAGTAAAATGCACGACGTATATACCGCAATCGGTATAGTTGGGTTGTTGTGGTACCTGAGTTATCCAATTGTCAGTTGGGCTAATGAGCACAGGTTTCCACCAACCATGAGGGTTCGGCTATTAGGTGGGTTCAAATTTTTACCGCTCTTCGCTTTTGCCTCCAGCTGAAGATAAATTCCCAGTATTTCAATAGCGCGCATCTGTGACTTTCCCAGAGAATCCATTATCAAAATCAAGGTCCTAAATAAACAGTCAGAGTTATTAAGCGGTAATAGTAGACAAGATACTGCTCTGAGGGTTCCGAGGACGACGAGGAGCTAGGCTGCGGATGATCTTCTTGCGAGCGTGGAATATACAAATTCGGACGATATATTATGGCCAGGTACCAATGGTTCCTAACGCACAAGTTGTCAGAATTCCGGAATAGAAACAACAAAAACGATGAAGGTCCTACCATTCATTTATTGGCACGATGAGAAATTTTTTACTGAAGATGTTGACCTTGCTGTCCCAACGTAGTGCACTTTCGAGTCCGTATCTGCAATTAAGTAAGAAAAAAACAGCATACTTAACAGAACGGTCAGGCAAACTTACGTTCGCTGCGTATCGGACAGTTTTTGGTAGAGGAATGGACTAAAAACATGGATCTGGTTCGCTAGCTGAGGGTTATCTCGCAAGAGTTCATAATGCCAGAACCTAAGTAAAATCGTCAATTGCACGTAGAGACGGAGCAAAAACAAGTATAACTTCAACAGAAACTCGATAACGTTATCGTTTAACCATCTGCTGGATAGCCGGTCCCAGTCATTTTTTGTGAGCTGCATACGTGTTGGAGAATGTTTGAGTACGCTAAGGGAGATTATCAACGTCGACTAGAAGCACAGAAGATAACACACAAACATGTGATCGTTATTTATATGCGAAGTTTGGGGTTTTCTGGCCACTTTAGGTTTCATAAGCGGAATTGTCGTCTCCTGAGCCTTTGACTTGGATCCCAGAGTCCTGTCTACTGTAATGGAGGTACGAGTGGAATGGGTATCTTGCACCTGAATGAGACAACTATTTGTGAGAAGCACTAGATGGATGAGCTGAAACGTACGGGAGATGCTATTTCTTGTGTGGCAAGCGAATTGGGTTCCGGGGTTCCTTCTACTATAATGGAGGTACGAGTTGGCTGAACCTAGACCATCAGATTAATATTTCTATGAGGGATGCGATGGGTGACACGTACGGAACATGTTTTTCTACGCTTTGTTGGCGAATGCCGATCTTCTTGTATGATAAGTAACTCGAGTGTCATAGGTGACTCGAGCTCAGATGATGACTGTGGTTCGCAAGTTATCCTATTTAGCTCCTTGATTTTCTTGAATTTTGATGTTGATATACCAACCGGTTTACTTCCCGGAGTCCCGTTTACTGTAATGGAGGTTCGAGTAGAATGGGTATCTTGCACCTAGATGAGATAACTATTTGTGAGAAGCTACTAAATGGATGAGCGAAACGTACGGGAGATGTTATTCTACGTTCGGCTGGCGAAGGATTTGTTTCTTGTGTGACGAGCGAATTGGGTTCCATGGTTCCGTCTACTATAATGGAGGTACGAGTTGGCTGGACCTAAATCATCATCAGATGAATATTTATGAGAGGGATGGTGACACGTACGGAACATGTTTTCATACGCTTTGTTGGCGAATGCTGGTTTTCTTGTGTGATAAGTGACTCGAGTGTCATAGGTGACTTAAGCTCAGATGATAAGGGTGGTTCGCAAGTTATAGGGTTTAGCGCCTTGATTTTCTTGAATTTTGACGTTGATTTATCAACTGGTATACTTCTCGAAGACCGATGTTTGATATTCTCTGCTTTTGATTCCCTAGAAACGGCGTATCAGCGAAAAAGGTCAACCACCAGACACGAGCGGCCTCAAGAGCTTCATTCCATACTGAGTTGTTCGCATCCTGTCCAACAAGCTCACTGTACTGCTTGGCTGCATTCTTGCAGAGGAGTCGGAATTCATTGAAGATTTGGTTCGACCAGCTATCGTTCCTTGAATCAAACTTGATTGTCACTGTACCTCTGCATCCCGGTACCCCTACGAACATAAGACAGTGTTTCCAAAAAAAAGGGGAAGCGGGCAGAGAAATAAGTCCTTTCGTGTTTGCCAGGGGGGAACCTGTCGAGTGGGCGAACAAAGGTTTGTACCGTACATGGGAGTTGTTCCGGAGGTGTAGTTCCTTCGATGATCACTAAATGCAGAATTACTACCATCATCACACCAATACGCTGTCAGCTCAATTTTGTGGTGTAGTGAGGAGGCATGACACAAAACGGCTACCTACTATTACGCCAAGTTCTCGCCGTAACACAGACGACTAGTACAACTCGATATCCCATTCGAAACCCATTCGAAACTAACTGAACGCGGGATGGTTACTCCGGTAATGAAGCAATGGCATCCGAGTCAGGCGCCAAAAGCTTGCGCGCTTACTATCTTTTGTCCAGTTTTATTTTCTCTCTTCACGCGTTTTGACACAATGGCATGGAACCCTCAAGCTGCAGGATTGCAGGAAATTTTGACGACCATTCATAAATCGATGGACGTGGATGTCATTATCGAGCGCAATATAACTCAAGTGACTCAAATCAGTTCTTTGAAAGAAATTTTACTGATGAATGGTCCATTCCCCAGAGACTCTTGACTCGTGCACCAGACTATATTGGTTATTTGGCACATATCTTGACTGCGATGCCCCAAGAAGAAGAAAAAACGCGAACAGCTGCTGGATTTCTGCTAAAAAACAATGCGCCACTCATCCTCAGTTCGTCGCCTGAAGTGGCACAGTATGTAAAAGTAGCTGTGTTCCGTCCTTTTGATGATGACTCGGAGTCTGTGACGATACGGGCTGTTGCTGGACAGTGTATTGTGTCCTTCCTTGGTGTGCTCGAACCCAGAAATTGGCCCGAGTGTCTTCCTCAGCTTCTGAATATGCTAGATTTGCCAGATTTGGATAGGCAAGAGGTATGTGAAAGCGGTAAACTTTTGATGATGTTTTAAAACTATTCGATAGGCTGTGTTTAATGTTCTTCAGAAAGCATGCGAAGAATATCCGCGAAAGTTGGATGTAGAAATCGGTGGTGCTCGCCCTCTTGACTTTATGATTCCCAAGTTCCTTCTCCTTGGAGACCACATTTCATCCAGGATGAGGTCGCATGCGGTTGCTTGCCTCGCCTGTTTCGTTCCAGTCAACTCCCAGTCCCTATATGTTCATGTTGACACTTTCATAGCTTGTCTTTTGCGACGGGCTTCTGACGAGGATCCTTCGGTTCGCCAACATGTTTGTCAAGCACTCGCATCATTGCTGGCGACTCGTCCCGAAAAGCTTGTGCCTAAGATGGAGCACGTGGCCGAGTTCATGCTCGATTCAATGAAGGAGCAGAATGAAAATATTGCCTTCCAAGCCGCTGGATTCTGGCTCACTTTTGCTAAAGATTTTAAACTAGCTCCGTCATTGCAGCTCAACAAAGTGGCCCCCGTTCTCCTGGATTGTGTGATCTATGGTCAGGATCTGGAAGGTGATGCAATCGATGCGGCTTTTACTGATGATAAGGAGACCAACGTTAAGCCTCGTCATTGCGGGGCCAAATCACACGGATTTGACCGAGATGCAGGTGATGAGGCCCATGCAAAAGTACCAAAACCTTGTGTCGAGGCTTACCGAGAAAAGACCATCGATTCGGATGATAATGGCGATTTTCTGGATGATGATGAATCTGAGAATGAGAGTCTTCGAACGCGCGCCGCTGCAGCGTTAGATGCCCTGGCTGTTCGATGTAGCAGTGATTTACTTGATGTGTTACTTGCTCCATTGAAGGGTAAGCTATGGAGCAATGACTGGTTGCAGAGGGAAAGTGGTATCCTTGCCCTTGGTGCAATCGCAGAGGGTGAGTGCCTGTTCTTTTCAATTTTTCTTTGACTTACATACCTTGTCCAGGTTGTATTGAAGCAATTGAACCTCATTTGTCAACCCTTGTACCCCATCTCATTAATACACTGAACGATTCAAAGGTAAATTGAACGCCCTTTGTCCTAGTAACCTGCACTTATTAGACAGTCTACTGTCTAGCCCCTTGTTAGGTCTACCACTTGCTGGACACTTGGATGTTATGCTAGCTGGACAACCCAACCAATCTCGGATGAGCACAAGGAAAAATACTTCATACCGACAATGAAAGGAG